CTTTAGACGCGTTTGAATTGAAGTGCTAATTATTATGCCAACTGGTTCACCCGCAGCAAGAAAAAAGCAAGCTATTAAGTCCGGATCTGGAAATAGCCTGCTTTTTAATGGTTGTATTTATTTACCAAGCCTGTAAAAGGGTATGATTATCAGCTTGTGGATGGTGCAGGTTTCTGCAACCTACCTGATTATTTTTTTACAAAGCGCAGCGTTTTTTTTGCAAAACTGTTCTGTATGTTTAACAGGTATAATCCGCCCGGTAATTCTTCCAGGTCTATTTCTTTCTCCATCACGCCTGCACCACTGATCTGCCACTGTTTGAGTACCGTTCCCATGATATTGGTCAACGTAATGTTTGACTGTGTCTGCTTGTCAACAGTAACAACGAGGGTTGCCTTACTTGTTACCGGATTGGGGGATAACACGGCAATCAATTCCTGTTTGTTGCGCCTTGAAATGCCTGATGGACCCTGGCCTGCGGTGCCGTCCCATTTCCAGAGGCCGCCGGTTTCGGTACCGGCATACAGATCGCCATTGATGTAACGCAGGCATTTGATATCCGCAACCATATACATGCCCTGTGTAAAGTCCTGCCAGTTATTGCCATTGTTTGCACTCCTGTATAGAAAGTTATTGTCTAAGTTGGCGCCTGCCCTGTCTGTACCAGCCACTATAGTATCTCCTTTTGCTGCTATGCTCATAAAGAGCGCCGGGGGAAGGCCTGTTGCTGCCTGCTGCCAGGTGAGACCATCATCGGCAGACCGGTAAACGGTACTGAGCCCGCTTGACCTGGCAATGGCAAAGAGGTAGGTGCTGCTGGCCGTGAGTGCAACGATGTCGCTTGTTGGTGGCAGGCCTGCAGACAGGTTGATCCAGGTAGCACCGTTGTCATTGCTTCTTTTCACCGTTCCATTATTAGTGCCTATGAAGTGATGAGCTCCTTTGCTGGTGAAACAAAATACGGCAGTATTGTTGCCGAATACAACCGTCCAGGTCGATCCGGAATCATCAGAGCG